GCCCCGAAACCATCCCCCTCAGAGGAACACCCCCCCTCGCCTTCCCCACATCAACGCCCACACGGCAAACTCTGCCCTGCCCACAGCTGCCCCCTCACCTCAGAGGAACAACCCCCCCCAGGGGTCCTTACCCCGGTCCCTCACAGCCGCCGCCTCCGGCCCGCCGCGTGCTCGCCGCGCCGGCCCCGCCCCCTATAGGCCCCGCCTCCGGAGCCCTCCACAGCCACCCCATCGGTTGCTCCGGCCGCCATCTTCCCTCCTTGGAGGCGGGAAAAGGAAGCGACGCAGAGGAAGGGGATTGGTGCAGGCGGTGGAGGGGGCGGGGCTCCCTGCTCTTCAATCGCCACAACTTTATTGGCTCCCGGCGGCGGCGCACGGAGAGCCCCGCCTCGTTGCCATGGCAGCGGGGGCGTGGCTTTCCCCGCCGGGCAGCGCTGAGGGCCGCGGGTGCGGGGTCCCGCCGCCATTAACGGACCTCGGAGGGGAAGGAACCGTGATAAAATCGCGGAGGGGGGGACCCACGGGGCTGGGCCGCCGGCCCGGGGCGGGTGCCAGGCCGCGGCCTGCATCTTCCGACGGAGGCCGGGCTGCCGGCGGCGAGCAGGGCCTCACGGGCTGGAGTTGTGCCCACTTCCAGTCATGGCTCGGGTTCGCTGGCACCGTCCCTGACAGCCTCGAAAAGAAAATGATCTCATGTTCGACAGGGCAGAGTTCAAGAGTCACCCAGAACGCTAGCAAGCAAACGGAGAAGTTGCCCTTTAATAATTAAAATCAGCCTATTTATTGATTTTTCTGTCCCCGACGAGTGCGCTGCTTCTGCAATGAGGCACCGAGCGTCTCTGGCACACGAGATCTGAGCTGGTCAACGGGATTAGGGACTGAATTTCCCCTTTTACCTTTTTAGCAGTAACTGACGTTGTCAAAAAACAATACCTGTCAAGAAGCAGGGAAATGCTGGCCTAACGGGGTTACGGAAGGAGATGCACAAATCCACCAGCTTCTGGGTGTGTTTGCGGAGCTGGGCCGCACCGAGCTGCCCTTCTCTGGGAGAGCGGGAACAGAAAGGATTATTTCCTGGGAGGGATCCAAACAAGAAGAGGGACAGGAGGGTCCGTTAGGTTTCCTTTTCCTTCAGCTTGCTGCTACATTTTTCCAGGCCCTTCTTTTTTCCAATTAAAGTTCCAAATAGTATTTTTTTCCTTTTTTTTTTTAACTTAGAATTTAATAGACCAGCACATACAGGTTATTAGAAGGATAGCATACTAACATTTGCTTCTTTTTAACTTTTTATTTAATATTGCCCAAAGTGTTAGAACTCAAAATTCCTTGTTCTAGTCTTAATTTACTGTTCAGCATTGAAGTTTGTTTGGCCCCAATTGCAGAGTACTGCATTAGGCCACAATCTTAGATGGATGTTATTCAGTGAGAAAAGTAATTTGTACCTTTATTTTTGTACCAGTAGAATCAGATTTGTGGTCTTTTCTGATAAATGCTGTAAGTTGTGGTAAATAATATCACCAATATCATGGATAAATAAGTAAATTATTTCAAGAAGTATTTTTAAACATGGAAATATTTTCATCAGCTTAGTTTCCACTGCTGTCTTTTAAATTAAAATCTAAACATTTGAGCTGACTATATATTTTTCTAGCAAGATGAAAAAGAGCTTTATCTAAACCCAATAATGTGGTCAAGTCACATGGATAATAATCACAGAACATTATAAAAAACATAAACTGTACCTCAGTTTAAAGGCTGCCTTATCTCTGACACATTACGAAAGCAGAAAGTCAATCAAAAGATACTTCAAAGTACTGACAATTTCAGTTGCCTGCTACTAGTAGTGTGCAAACTTCTAATTAATTCTACGTGCTCCAGTATAACTAATGCTATTTTTATTACTGCAGCTATTTATGTACCTAGCAGCACGATAATCTTTCTATGAGAACACCCTTCTCTGTGATCACTCTGCAATACCATAAGACTGTCAACTTGTATTTCACAGGTGCACTGATGATTCACCTAGATTTCAGCTTAAAGTCTGCTCTCTAAATAGTTTATTAGGACCAGATATTAATACAGCTATTTGTATTTGTGAGGAGTCACAAGTACACAGCTCACCGAAGCCTCTTAGCCAAGCAGGTATCACAGAACACAGACCCATTCATCAACTGCCATGAAAAGGTGCCCTATTTTTTTTATTTTTGCTTCTTAACAATTATTTGGAGGGCCATTTTTTTCCTGCATGGTGCATTGAAGATAGAAAAATATCTAAGCACATGACATCAAAGCACAAAGACACGCTTATTGTTTTCACAGTAAATACGTTTCATCATTGTTGTGAAGCCTGGTCCTGCTGAAGTCTACTGCCCAGAACTAATCACTGCTCAAATTGGTGAGAGTTGTTCTGAACATTTCAAAACAAGATGTGTATGATTTCATTGAAGACAATATTGGATTTAAACCAATATACATTATAATACTTAAGGCTGTATTGTAAATGCCAATATAGCAATGAGAAATATTTTTAGTTAGTTTTTCATCTGAGTTTCCTGGGGTGGTTAGTATTGCCACAAATTCAACAAATATCTTCTGTTTATTGTTCACGTAGTAAAAACAGCTGCAAGATCAACTCGAATGACATACTTCTATGGCCACGGATTTGGTATTCAGTACTCCCAGATGAATGTAGCTATATTAACAGAAAGTACAATTGTCTTGCTAGCAAACCAATGCTGCTGAGTTACAGTATATATTGGGTAAAAATGAATCTGTAAAGTTCACCACAGTAATTGTATGGCAGTTGCCCCAGAGATCACTTGTAACTCTTGACAGTTACTTTATAAGCAGAATTTAAAACAAAAGACATTTTTAGAAGGGAATCTTTGTGATCCCCACCTTAAAAGAAAGTAGTCTAAACAAATCTGAGTTTCGGTGTCATGTACTCTAGGACTAAGGTCAAGTACTCAAACAGCAAGTTCTCTAGAATAAGAATTTTTTGCATGTGTTTGCATAATACCACAACATATGTTGTGACACAGCTGTCCCTGAGTATAGCCAGCAACTTTTGGATGCCACATAATGCACCACAAACATTTTTTGCATCTTGCTTGCTTTTTTTTTTTTTTTTGCTTGGGTTGCATTGCATTAATTAACTTGTATCTGCATGTAGATGAAGTGTTACATAGCAGGGATCAGTGAACATAATTCCATCAGCAAATTCCTGCAGATGAAGTAGTAGAAGGTAATGTGATTTGCTGGAGAAAAAGGGATTTATTTTGAACATCTTTAAAAGTTACAGCTCATTGGATCACTTTTCAGTTCTCATCTGTTTGTTGGGGGGGCGGGGGGAGTTGGCAAACTTCTCTCCATCACTTTTTGCAATTCTACCTGCAGAACTTGACACAAAATGTAGAAATGACGCAAATTTATTATAACTGATGATGATCAAGTTCCTGGATTTATTGAAAGTACTTTAATGCTTAATTGCCACTTAGTGCTGAATAAGCACTTAATAAACCAAGATCAAATGTTGATTAAATCATGTACTCTAATTTCACAGTACAATGAAAGGATGTTTTGATTGCAAAGTCAAGTTGTTGGATAAGCACACCATTTTTTAGAGGTCAGCTCAGAGTTAACAGCTTCTGACTTCAGAAAACCTAAGCTAACTTCCTTCATCCTGCGGTTAAAGAACTGCGTCTCTCATCTCTTCATTGCAGGAATTCTTAATTTTAATAATGCTACTATTGGTAACAATGCTTGCAATTTCTTATGACCTGCACAGAGTGCCAGTTTAAGATCTTATGTTTGATCCCGTTGAAAGCAGAAAATTAGGCCATGCACTGTGGGCTCCTCCTCAGCCTCCCAACTGTTCCCTGTAACTATCCCTAAAAGGCTGAGTAGATGTTCCAGGCATAGTTCACGTAGGGAAAAAACAGACTGCAGACAAGTATTTCTGTTTTCCTGGTTGTCCTCTCTTTCTAAACATCCATGGTAGGGGTGCACCTGTTGAGATTTGTTTTTTTATTGGCAATTTTGTTAGCAAGAATTCCATATTCCTCCCTGAAGCAGAAATATCAAACTGGATGCAACAGCAGGAGCCTTCCATCTGAGTGGTAGCAAGTGCACCCAAAGTGCACCAGGAAGGGTTTATCTAATGGCATTCTCAGTTCTTTTTGTGTTTATACAGAGACTAAACAGAATAGGCTAGGTTCCTGCACACAGCACAGACATGCATTATGAAGCAGCTCAAATCTGCTACTACTGACTTTTTGGGTGGCAATTTCTTAAGAGCAGGTATTTATTTGTCACATTCCATACACTGTACACTTTTTTGTTGGGGGGTGTGTGTGTGTGTGTACCATTTATATCTTTGCTTCAAGCTGTGATCTAACTCCAACTGAAATTGGTTGACACCAAGATCAATTACAGAAGACCAGCCCCCCAAAAGTCCAAGTTCAGGAGAGAGAGAAGCACTAGGCCATCAGACCAGACACATATTTCAGAACTGCTGTATCACAGATACAGTGTTTGCATAACTACTGAAGTGTCTTGTATTTAAATTTTGAAATAGACATTTATTTGCATTGACAAGGAAGAAATCTCACAAACCAGATGTTTAAAAAAGATGCCTGGACGTGCCTCCAAGTGAAAAGAGCCAAACCTGACCATAAGAATTTTTTATTTTTCTTTCAATTACATATTAGTGAGGTTAGTCAGCCTGAAGTCTAGACACAGTCCCAATACTGTCACAAGGCCAATGCATCAGGAAAGAACAGAACTGCTGCTGCAAGGCAAGCACAATGCAGTGCTAATTAGCATTGGTATGAAATCAGTCTCCATGTTAAGCTGGTTGACTTTGTGCTTTTACCACTGTCTTAAAGATGCTGGCAACTTTTACTCCTTCAAACATTCTTAAAAATTATCAGACACAGCACTATGTTCTATAAACTTCAGCCCAGAGAAAATATTCCAACTCTTAAAGCAGTGTCAATTTGAGCAACTGATCCACTGTAGTCCACAGCTGTAACTGCTAAGCAATTAGTAGCCATTACAGCATGAATAATGCTGTAAACAGTAAATCACCAAAAATTAATAAAGTACATGCTGTGTACAGTGGAAGCACAAGCAACAACAGCCTCTCTAAATTTTAATTTTAAAAATCTTTGCAGGTTAGTAG